TACTCTAAATTGTTTTATTGCAGAACAGCCATCAAGTTAAGCTACAGGGTGCTCTGTTTACTTTAAATACTGTATTTTAAAATATGCTTGCAATTAAACAGGTAAATACACACACACACACACATATATACTAGAGCTGTGCAGCACCTGATATTCAATGACAAAACGGTGTTTCAGAGGATGTAGGGATATGAACATAGTACCCCTCTGAAATTGTGAGTTAGTATGGTACAGTGGCTAAGTGTTGGACCAGCAGTAGGGAGACCTAGGGGGGAGAAGAATTAAAATTTAGAGCTAGATTCAGGAACAAACAGGAGACCTTATCCTCTTGCACTTTTGCAATGCTCAAATCGTGAAAACAAAAAACACTTCAATGAATTTTATTCTGGGAAGTTGAGGTAATTCATTGTACTCACCAGATGGGCTGCTTTCTGCTTCTCCTCTTGGGCACTATTTTTCTCCTGGAGGAGAGTAGCATTCAGACTATCACTGACTGCCTCCCTCTCCCTTTTTGCCAACCGAAGTAGTTCCTCTTGGACCATTGTCTGCTCTTGTTCATATCTGTAAAGAGGAAAGTGATCAGCAACCATTTGGCTAAAGGTCCTCAAGTTATAATGCAGCACTCTTGGCCACAGCCATGAGCTTGTGTCGCTAGGTCATCACTGCACTTCATGGAAGGCAACAGACTTTAAAAGTAATATTGCAGTGAAAAACCCAGTCAGTTCACCAGAGGGTCAAGACCAGTTGTTCTAATGTTCAATCATTTTCCAAGGAGAAAAATAAAAGATATAAGACATATTATAGATGCATGGACTATGAAATATTTCACTGCTTCTTTGGCTTAGAAATGAGGCTTTGCGATTCAGTAACAAAGAAGCCACACACACACACAGACACACAAACAGCCAACTATTTTACAGCACCATAATCCTAAAAGAATAACATCACAGTCAAACTAGATTTGCTCATTGTGGTAAGACCTGATTTGTTTTAACCATAATTTGTTGAATAAGCCACAATTACTGCTTGTACACACACTAAGCCAAACCTAAACAAACAACATTGCAGCTTAGCATAATTATTGAACTCAGTCTTTATAAGCTGCCTGAAAATAAAACCATTAATTTCTGATCAAGTTGGATGCAGTTGAGCATAGACTATCATGCTGGAAGACTCTAGAAAATCTGGTCATTAAACCAAAATACTATACAGCATGGTTCTGAATTATTTTACAGATAACCTTATTCTAAATGAGTCACCCTGTTCTCTTAGGTTATTAAGATATGGCCTACTCAGAGAACCATCTCCACATGAAATGAGGAGCCATGGGCCAGAAGACAGGTCTTCACAGTTGTGGCCACAATTCTGTGGGCATACTGCCCCTGCAGTGACATTTGGCCCATTCTCTTCTGGCTTTTAGGAAGCTTCTGAAAACTTTCCTGTTAAAGTGAGCCTTTGATAACTAGTATGGAAACAAAATGGCCATCTTTCATTTGTTCCCTAATGTTTTCACTGATGCAATTGCTTATATATTAAAACTGCTACTAAGATACTTGTATGCTGCCCAGAGCTGTGAGATTGGAGTGGCATAAAAATTATGTTAATGAAAAATAAATACACTTTTCTATCTTCAAACATGGATTTATTTATCAAATTTCTATTCTACTAAATCTTCACAATTCACAGCAGCTTACAAATGATTAAAATACAACAGAAATATCCAGAGATTAAAACATTAAAACACAGTGTTTAATAAAAACAAAAATAATTATAGTACTTAATAATAAAAAAAAATCCAAGTTATGACAATCACAATCATTCAATAGAGGCCCTCTGGGAAAACTTGTTCTTTAAAAGCCTCCAGAAGGCTGAACCTAATTTCTAGAGGAAGCTGTTCCATAATATAGGTATCACAACAGACAAGCGACAGGTATCAATATAATTGTGAGCAACTGCTCTACATTCCAATAATCTCCTAGCATATCTTTGTTTTACTTAAACTATTAACTTAATGATTTATGGACACACTTGCAAATTTCAGAGGTATGTCATCCAACTTCCCTTAAGATTAATCTTTTAGGGACTTAAATGCATAGTATTTCATCTTTAAATTATTTTCTGAAATAAGAAGTACTGTATCTTCCTTCTTTCACTGAAACACTAGGTCAAAACAGATAAAAATCATAGGAAAAGATTTCAGTTAGTTTTTCATAGCACAGTATTCACACAATCAAATAAGCCACACATTTCTATACCAAGGCTTATTGAGTATTTGCTTTATGAAGTCTATTTGAACTATACACAAGTAAAAACTGAGCAAACTATCTGTTTTGGATATCTTTAGTGGCTTTAGCCGTTTCTGTTCTATACTCTTCCTAATCTTTTATTTAGCTGTTTATATCTCATGTCTGACAAATATATATATATGAACATATAATTTGAGATAGCACAATCACTTCTCCCAGATAAAAGAATATTTTTTTGTCAAACTTCTTTATCAATGGACATTTACTGGAGATTTATATACTGTAGGTGAAATCAGGCACCTTCTGAAATCAACTTCTGAAATATCTCTGCAGTCTCTTTTAAAACACTCCTTCTGTCAATTTCCAGAGATTTTATGTTACATAGATTTACTATTATTTCAGCCATATTACTGTTGATTGAGGGAAGAAGGAGAACTAGCTGTTGTTTGCTGGGGGAGTTCAACAGGATAAAGGGGGAAGTAAGTAGAAAAGTGCTGTGTTCTGAAGGAGGAAAAGCTGCTAACTGCAAGAGGTGTGTCCTGAGAAAGGCGGATGAGAAAGTGGTTGCACAACGGCTTCAGAGGACCGTGGAGGATTATCTGGATCCTTTTCAGTCAGGATTCAGATCAAGATATGGGAAGGAAATGGCAGCATCATTCTGGATGATCTCTGGCATGGGCAGGATGGGAGTTGTGCATCCATCCTTGCCCTACTTGACCTCTTGGCAGCTTTTGATACTATCAACCATAGTATCCTTCTGGATCAGCTTAGAGGATTGGGGGTGGGTGGTACAGTGTTGTGCTGGTTTGCCTCCTTTCTTTGGGTTTGATTTCAGTCAGTGATGATTGGAGAGAAGAGGTACTGCCCTCAGCCCCTATTATGTGGGGTGCCACAGGGTTCGGTGCTCTCCCCTCTCCTTTTTAACATCTACCTGAGGCCACCAGGTGAGCTCATCTGTCGCCATGGAGTGAGGTATCATCAGCATGCTGATACCAATTATACATCTCTACCCCTGGCGAATTAAGCAATGCCGGGAACGTCTTCTCTCAGTGCCTGGAGGCTGTGAGTGTCTGGATGGAGAACAACAGGCTCAGCTGAACCCTGGCAAGACTGAATGACTCTGGGGTTTGGGGACTACTGGTTCTAGGACTATGCCATCTTTGGTGCTGGATGGGGTGGCACTGCCCCAGATAGATCCAGTGCGCAATCCGGGGGTCCTCCTAAACTCATGACTCCTGCTCAAAGAGTAGGTGGCAGTCATGGCTAGGAGGGCCTTTGGGTTGTGTGCCAGTTGCACCCATTCCTGGATCAGGAGGCTCTGCTCAATCACTCATGCCTTAGTCACCTCCAGATTGGATTATTGTAATGCACTCTACATGGGGCTGCCCTTGAAGAGTATTTGGAAGCTTCAGCTGGCACAGAATGCAGCAGCACAGGCAGTTATGTGTTCTCCTAGGACAGCACATATTACACCTCTGTTCTGTGAGCTGCATTGGGCACCAGTTTGCTTCTGGGTCCAATTCAAGGTTCTAGTTTTAACCTTTAAAGCTCTTCATGGCATGGGACCAGGTTATCTGAGGGACTGCCTCTGCTCCATTATATCAGCCCACCCATTACATCTGGCAGAGAGGGTATGCTGCAGATACCATCTGCCAGGGACCTACATTTGGTGGGTCCCAGGGGGCAGGCCTTCTGTGCCATGGCGCCCACCTTATGGAATATTCCCCCGCAACATTAAGTTAGCTCCACCCCTTTTCATGTTCCAGAAGTCCCTCAAGACCTGGTTATGTCACCAGGCCTGGGGGTCCCAGGGAACCAGAGATATGTCTAGATGGCTCCACTATTGAGGTAGATATACTCATTCTCTCTCTGCCTGGGGTTTCTATATATATTTTAGTTTTAATTAATCTCTATTTTTTAACACTGACTTTTTATATTTTTAATTGCTTTTTAATATATGTATTGTTTTGATTATTGTATGCCACCCAGAGTCACTTCTCATGAGATGGGTGGCTATATAAATCTGATTAATAAATAAATAAATAAAATTGTAATGTTTTACTGATTATCAGGGCTCTTATCAAAATATATGGGCATGTACAACTCTAGCGATACAGAAGGCTGCTTAAGTAACTGGGGTAATAAACTTCATATTTGATTTTTTAAACAAAAAAAAAAGCCCTACATATTGTTTGAATTCTCTTAAATATCTTGGAATAATTATGCTATAAGATTTTTTCATTGGTATAGATAAATATTTCAAATTGTTTATCTCAGTTTAATATTGACAGAAATTGTTTGCTAAAATGCCTATGAATGTATGAGAAATAATAAGTGTTGTTAAAATGACTACTACTTCAAGATTGATATATACTCTCAGAGAGATGCCTAAATTAATGGGCAGGTTGAGGCCATGACAAAGAGAGCCTTTGCCCAGCTTTGCCTGGTGTGCCAACTGCAAACAAATCTAGAGCATGAGACTTTTGTGACAGTAACTCACAGCCTCATCAACACTCATTTGAGTCCTGTTATGTTCTCTATTAGGGGGTTGTCCTTGAAGACCACTCAGAAGTTTCAATTGGTCTAGAATGCAGCTGCTTTATTGTTGGCTGATACTCACTGACACAAGTACATTAAACCTATGCTCCAAGTCCTGCACTGGCTTTCCTGACTTAAATGCAATTTAAAGGGCTGTTTCTGACCTTTAAAGCCCTATATAGCTTGGCACTAGATTACTTGCAGGACCACCTTCTCCAACCAGTTTGCTGCTTTATACATACACACATACATACATACATACATACAT